GGTAAGTGATGGTCAGGTTTTTATGCCAGGAGACTTTGTGGGTATCGCCTGAAGCCTTGAATGCAGGAGGCACTTGGGAACAGGGCCTGGGTATGCGGGCCTGATGATAGACATGTGGAGTGTGTGGTGTGGGCATGCGTAAGGGGGCTCATCCGAGCCAGGGGGCTGAGCATATAAGAGGAAGACCAGAAGAAAGAATAAAGATTCTTGGGGGGCTGGCAAGCCTGCCAGCCTCTTGGCCCCCAGCCCCCAGCCCACTCAGCCTGGTTGCCACACAGTTTGATAGCAAGATCTTGCACTTTGTAGTCTGTTTCTTAATTACAACACAGTAGTGTGAAAGCAGTCACAGCAATAAATGAATATGCCTTGGTTCCATTAAAACTTATTTATAAAAAAAGCAGGGGGACCTAATTTAGCCCTCTTCAGCAACGTTGTTTTAAATAATTGCAGGAAAGAAATTAAAAAAAAATAAATTCTTCAGCAGTACCTTTTGGGTCACTTAAAGAGCCAACTAGAGTTCACTTCTCTACTACTGTTCACATCCTGCAAACACTTATCTCTGGCATTTGAGACAGCACTTCCTCTGCTTAGTTTAACTTTATAGTCATTATCAGTGTTCTTTTGACCACTTGTGAACCTGAACAGAACATGAAATTTTCTTTACTTCAGTGACCATCCTCACAATAGAGATAACAAGTTGCTACTAAACCTGTTCAGTTACATCTGACACAACCTGTTTTCTGGCAGTCTCTTTGGGATGGATATCCTTCAGATGCCATACCTGTGAGCTAGCCTGGCTTCCCATACCTGTGTGCAGGTTCTGCTATTCTGTGCAGGCAGGGCATCAGTTTATGTACTCAAAGGAGGAATACTATAGGAACTTGGACTGAAGGAATGCATCCAACCTCTGCCACTCATTAGCTATGTGTCCTTAGGATAACTGCTTAATTCTAGGCTTCCCTTTCTTAAAATGCAAGAGAGGAATCGTAATAGTACTCAGCACATTGTAGGAATTATAGCAAACATCCATAGTTGTTATCTATAATTGGTACTCATAAAGGAGATGTCATCAACTACCAATATTATTTATGATAATAGGATTGTTAATTAACCTTCAGTTGCATGATATTTCCATATATGAACCACAGGTAAAATTTGAGCATTGTCTGTTTATGGCTTCTTAAGAAGGTGGTTTTTATATTTTAAATGTTTTGCATTCAGTTGCTCTAAATTTTTATGAAAGTATTAACTTGTTTTAAAAACTTTAAACATTATAGCAGATGGTACAAATGAATAAATCACAAAAAGTAAGTTACATAAAGAAATACCAAGGACAACTACTGTATCTATTTACTAGTTGCCTCTTCCTCTGGCCTGTTCTCACACACAAGCCTTGCTTCCTGTTTTCTAGTACTTCTTACAAACGAATCATATAGCCTCAGATTAGCTGTGATTTTCATCCAAGGAAGCTTCATTAGAAGAACATTCCTAGAACATCACTCCACAGATCTGAGTAAGCAGTTTTAGAATAGCGCTTGAAATCTGCATTTTCCTCTGGCACAGATGTGTGGGAGTTTGGGGACACTCTGTTTCACATTCTGACTAAAGTTCTCAGACAGGTTTTCTTCCCCAGAGCTGGCTACCATGTTTTGACTGCCTATGCCTCTCTGCTGACAATGTGTTGAGCATTTATAATAATCCTGAAGAAAGATATTCTTAATAACATATTACAGGCGAGGAAACTAAAATCCATTTATGTTTAATAATTTGACCAAAGTGTTAGGCAAGAAAATGAAGATTTCTCAGACTATTTTTTTCTGTATCTGTCTCTTTATCTTTCCTTTAGAACAGTACATAGCTAACATCATAGTTGAAATTATTTGTTTAAGCATGTAAAAATCTTCGTGAGGGGATGGGTCAAGACTTACTTGTACTTTAAGAGTAATAGACTGATTAAAAGAAATCAAAACCTATACAAACTGTGTGAAGAACACTGTTGAATAGATGTAGAATTTCAGGGAATCAGAAACAGAAAATATGATTTAGCCCTAAGGAAATTCAAACACAGGCTTATGTGTGAGATATTGTAACAAGAAAAGAATTAGGTAATTCTCATATATGTATTCTTCTGGCATGTGTATAAACTGCCTTCTCAAAAAGTTGCTACAACCAAGTGCAGGATTTGCCTAGAGATGCAGGAACTACCCTTTGTCTTTCCATAGCCATAGAATATTTTCAGTTTCACTTTTATTGTTCTGGCTCACAAGTCAGGAGCTTTTGGAAGGGAAAAGGAGTCCTATGTTCCTTAAAGACTCTCTCATCCTAAATGAGAAAAAGCCCACTCAATTCAAACTGCCTTTAAAAAGACAGATTTATAAAAATAACAAAACTTATTGGAGTATATAAATAAAAGATTTATAATTAAGTCTAGGTTTGGAACCAAAGGAAGATCACTGTAAAAGCACTCCACCTTCAGTAGATTTCCTACAGAAAGCATTTAATATCTGATGAATTGAATTAAAGATATAAATTTTCCTGAGTCAAATTCTTTAAATACAGAATTTGTTATATTCCGTAGTTTTGAAATACACAATTTTTTGAAAGGCTTTATTTATTTTTTTAAGATTTATTTATTTATTCATACAGAACTGGGGTACAGGCCAGAGACGAGGAGGATGAGAGGATTCACCAGAGACAGAGTGGGGAGAACAGGCATACCCACGGATGAAGTACACTGCTGAGGGGATCAGCGGATGGGTCAGGAGGAGTCTGCCGCGCCATGTGGTCACCTCTGTGTCAGGTGGGGATCGAACTCATGCGGAAGTGGCTTAAGCTTCTTAGTGCTGTGCTTTAACCCACTGTGCCACCAGGGAGGGCCCTGAAATACACAATTTTTAAGGTAACTAAATTATTTTTATTCATGTCAACATATATTAACACTGGCATTTTACTTATTTTGTCAATATTGAATATGTCACATTTGATAAGCTTGGGAAATATTTTGTTTTTTAAATTTTCAAGGATATTTGTGCAAGTGTGTTTGTATTTCTTAGATTTATTGTCCAGTGTGGATATATTATTTTCTGTTTTGGAATTTTTTGCTATTTTTCTTCTTGTAAATTCTTTCTTCAATCATGTTAATATATTCTGTCTGGCTACAATCAGGACTTGTCAGGGAAGCTGTTTTGCTTTTTGTCTGGATGATTTTCCATACAACTAATTAAATACATTATAGGTTTCTTCTGTACTTGAACTCTAGATGGAAAATTTATTTCCCCATATTAAAACTATTTGGCATGAGTGATTTGGTGATAGGAAGCCCACAGGGATTACAACTGAGACGGAAAAAGGCACAAAATGATGTAAAAATAAACTATTATATTATTTTAAAAACAACCAATAAAAACATATAAAGAGGAAAAAAAAAACCACGCAACTATTTGGGGGCCCTCCCTGGTGGCTCAGAGGGTTAAAGCACAGCACTAATAAGCTTAAGCCACTTCAGCATGAGTTTGATCCTGCCCAGGGAGGTGACCAACTGGTGTGGCAGACCTCTCCTGGCCAGCCTGCTGCTCCCCTCAGCAATGTACTTCGTAGATCTGCCCACTGTCTCTGGTGAAGCCTTTCACCGCCCCCGCACCTCTGGCCTGTACCCCAGTTCTGTATGCATAAATAAATAAATCTTTAAAAAAAAAGTTATTTGGAGGACAAATCGAATCAGTTTATTGCCATATATACAGCAAGTTCTTCCACAGTACAATTATATTGCATACTTTTGGGGTTATTATCAAGATCTAATGAATAGGTGTAAAATGCTTAGCACAATGATTGGTCCACAGTAAGACCCTAACCCCAGATCTTCACAGTGAAGAACTTAGTCTCAGCCCTTAAAATCATCATTCATACCTCTAGATGTTAGTATTTTTCCCAGTTTTACTGCCTGGCGAAATTCTTTCTGAACTGAGCACAAGACACTCAGCTCCAGTCAATACACGAAAGACAACTCAGCACTCTCACTTTCTGCGCGCGCACAAACGCGCACGCACACACACGCACGCACACACACGATCACCAGCCTGCCCACACCCACGCGGAATCAGTCCATTTCCCAGCGACCAATCAGCGCTCCGCACGCGACTGCGCCAACCAATCCAAGCAAACACACGTTGCTGCTTCCAACACCGCCACCAACAGCCTCCACACCGAGCACGAAGTTCGAGGTGGGGCGGGGCCTAGCGGTCCGGCCCTGGAGCACTAGAAGCCTCCGATTGGTTGCACCTGGCAGAGACTCGCGGTTCATTGGCCTCTGCCGCCCGCAGCTGCAGCGGGCGGGGAACCTCAGAGGGCTCTAACGGGTCGGTGGGTGTAGCCGAGAGCTTCAGAGCGGTGCTGGTCCGTCGCGCCTGGAGTTCGTGCGTGGGCTCGCTTCACCTCAGGTAGCTAAGTTGAGGCGCCTGGCGCGGTTCCCGTGATGCGGCCAAAGGTCGGGGTGGGAATGGGGCGTCCGGGATGCCTGACTTGGTGTGGTGCGGGGTCACTTCCGGGGGGGGGGGCCGGGGCATGGCGCAGTCGGAC